GACGATGCTCTCAGGCGGCCCCTGCCGACGCTGACCTTCTGGCATGGCCGGACCAGTGCCCCTGCCCACTCGCACAAGCCAAGCTCACTGTGCAGCGTTGCCTCAGCGTGAATGCACTTGCAGCTTTCCTGCTGCGCTGCCGGGCTCAAGATCACTGCAGGCATCAAGCATAACACTATACAAAGCAGAAGGCTCAGGGCCCAGAATTTCGACTATTACAGCTTGCTCTGCCCTAGGCTACAGTTCTAACATTCCTGCGCAGCTCCTCACAGCCTCAACTTCCCCTAGCCTGGTAAGTGTGCGGTGCTCAAAGAGCACAGGCAACCGGGCATGGCAGCCACACCAACCACGCCGAAGCCCTTCTTGGTGCTCAGCGACAGCACCTTGCAACACTTGCTCTGGAAGGGGGCCAATGGCCAATCCTACGGAATCATTGACATGGTTCGGGGTGCAATGCACGGCTATGTCATCTCCTGCCCGGGTACCACTCTCACAGCAGAGTACGCGGGTGCGCAGCCACCCAACCCAGCGGTGTTGGAGGTACTGGCCTGGCAATTCATCCGCGTCCTTGGAGAAACGCGACCTTTCCCGGCGGAAAGCCCTGCATTGATCAATTTTCTTCGGGATCATTACTATGACGAAGTTAGTGTGCGCCTGATCCCCATCAGACAAAGCTTATTACCCCATAAGCAGACGAACTACGACTGGATCGCGGAGCTCAGGGACCAGTATGGCCTGGGACGGTATGAGCTCAGCGATGAGACCATCATGAGCCTCCAAGGCCCTCCTCCCCTGGTTGACCAAATATACAACCAAAACAACTGTCACTTTCGACCGACGGTGGCGGATCAGGTCATTGGCTTACTGGTATCCCGCTCAATTCAAACGATGCGGCGACTGAAGCCAAATGCGATCCATGTTCTGGTTGTGTGCTCATGGAATTGCCAGGGGGACAATGTCCACAAGGAGATGAACGCCACATTTGACCTGTGCTGCTCGGAGACACTGTCTGAGGTGGGTGCGGTGGCTGCTCGACACACGGGCAAGGCATGGGCCCTCAGGCCCTTCCTGGAACCCTACGTCAGTCGCCGGCCGATGCCCCGCACTGTTTTTCAGACATACATGCACGATGACCACCCAGGTCCCAAAAGCATGTGCCAGGAATTCCTGGCTGACTTCGAGCGCTCCTTCTGCAATGACGAGGTTTTGCTCGAGACCCTTCAGGTGCACGCTGGAGACGCCGGAGAACACTTGATCAAAAGCTTGAGGCAGCCTGCTCACAAGGCTGATGTCTTCAGATACGTCTACCACTATTTTCATGGTGGCCTGTACCTTGATATCAAGATGGCGCTGAGAATGCCCTTCGATCAAATTTTAGGGCTCATCGCTTCAGAATGGGACAATGTCCAAGTTCGCAAAAGCAAAGAGCTGGGGCAATGCCCAAATGGAGTGGAGGGGGTTCTGCCCAAGGAGTACATGATCATGGGCATTGGGGTCAAAAATGACCACATTTTCCAGGGCATCATCTATGGACAACCGCGCCATCCCCTCATGCTCTGCGCTATCAATCACGCTTTCAGCAGGCAAATACTTGCCTCGGTCGCCAACCTGGACTACATGATCTTCTGCAAGGAACTTTGGAAGCTCCTCACGCACGACATGGGCCACACCCCAGTGCCAGGATGGAACCAGACCCGCCAGTTCGGACCGGTGTATTTGCTCCGCGAGCGACATTCAACTCAGCTCACCAAGTCCAAAGAGCTTGAGTCTGATGGTCACTACTTTGAGACCCGCGGTCAGGTTCGAGTTGCATTCACCCGCTGCTGGAGCTGGCGAAAAGGCTTCAAGGGCGACCCCAGGGCAGCTCAAAGAAATGAAAACTCTCTCATGCAGAGCGTGCCCCAAATCGTTTCGGAGGTCATTGAAGCCGGTGGCGCTGCCTCTGCAGCACCCCATCCAGCAAGAGCGGGAGCAATGCTCACCAATGCAGGCGTCAGAGTTGTCGGCGAGACTGTGCTCAGCAGCCTCGAACGGGGTGATTTCGACGCGATTATGGCGGCGGTCGAAAAGGAGCCGCAGTACCACGGCATTTCGGCCGAGGCTGTCCTTCGCAACATCCCCCGAGGCCTCTGCCTTCACCCTGAAGATCCTGACTGGCTTTCCTGCCGCTACTGTGAGCGCGGCGGCCGACGCTTGAAGTTCCCAAATGAGTTGGGAGTCACACACCACTTCATGCAATCCCGGCACGACCGGTCAGTGCCCGAGCCACCAGGCCCCCCGCCTCGCAACAGTATGTGGTCGCAGCGCCCAGCCGAGCCTGCAAACCCTCCCTCAGCTGCAGCCATTGCAGCGTCAGGCCAGGCTCCGCCACCACCAGAACCCACGGCGGACCGTCCGCCCCAGTGGAGACCCACAGCGTCGGTGTCTAAGGCACGCTTTGGGCTCGGTCTCCCTCCCATTCCGCCAGGTCCTACCCCACAAGCGCAGGGCCACCGGCCTCTTGCAGCGAAAGAAGAACAGGGGGTCAATGACCAACCGGCGGATATCAAGGATGAGACACACGTCATTGCCGATCCCACGTTGGGATGGGCGGAAGACACTGTGGGCACGCCCGACACTCCGATGCTGCCGGCGGGCACACCGCAGTCACACAAGTCTGCTGGCCCTGGCCAGACAAGCGATCGGCCTTTCAACGCATTCTCAACCCAGAATGTGACTCCGACAGCTGCCCCCACCGAGGAGACCGTCCCACAGACCCCAGGCCCGGCTGACACCATAGCCTCATCCCCTGTGGATGCCCCCTCTACGCGTGCAGAGGTCAAATACCAGGGACCGGTCACCACGACCAAGCTGGTGGAGTACAGTGTCAACCCCTCTCCAGAGCAAGAGGCAAATCAACTGCCAAAGAGAGATCAGATTATTCACATCTGCCAGTCTGACCAGATGCTGGAGTGGGTCCATGCCTTTGCGACCATTTCCATTATGAAGGAGCAGGCTATCGTGGGTGGCCTCACAGCCTCTGAGCAGGTCTACCTTTGGACCAATAGGTTTCGAGCACTGGGCAAGGTGCCGTGGATCTTCGCCCCGATCAAGAAGGTCGCCACCGACAAGGATGCCAACTGGCTTGACATCACGCAAGCGCGGCTTATGGTCGGGGCCAATGGCCAATTCACACTATCCATTGGCCAAGATGATCGCTACACCGAGCTCAAGTCCACCACGACCTACTATGGCATAGTGCATGCCCTTTTTCAGAAAATGTGGGATCATCCGGACATGAGCGCATTGCTCGAAACGGATGACAACTTCGAGATCGTGGCCTCCACATTCAAGTGCATCTATGACCAGTCCTCCAGGAAAAGTGGGGGTCAAAATCGAGCCATCTTCTACCAGCCTCGGGAAGGACACGTTGTCCGCAAGCTCCGCATCGAACACAACAAGGGCGACACGCCCACATACCAATGGCATCGCCAACGCGAGCTACGGGAGCAGCGGGAACAGCGAGACAAGCGCTCTGGTGAAGAGACACAGTCTCACACAGATAAGCGCTACAGAGACGGCGATGCCTGGACCCGAGGAGGGTGGTGGAATCGTGGCTCGGACTCAGGGGCCAGTGACAGCCGCTCCTGGCACCAGTGAGCCCCAACTTCGATCACCGGTGCCAATGGCAACCTATACAGCGAAAAAACGGAGGCCATGCCTGCACTTATACTTCGTTTCTTCCGGCATGTACTGACGGCCTTTCTGCTGATCGCCGCCGCTGTCAGAGAAAAACACGCCTTGCCTTCTGCCAGTCGCAGAACTGTGCCTCTGCAATCAGTGCTGCATAATCACTATCCTCGCGCAGGTACATACAACAATCTGAAGCTTGTAGCCTGGCCGCCTACCAACTTGCTTCGGCTGACCACTGCCAGTTAGCCTGACGCCGGTAGGCCGCCAACACCCAAAGGTCTTTGACCGGGGCTGTTCAGCTATAGGGTCTGAGTCAGTTTCACACCATGTGAGTGCACCGCGGCAATCGCCCGCTATGTGCTGAGCCCGCTCGCACAGCGTTCAATTGAAAAAAATAGTAGTAGTAGTGGTAGTCGTAGTGGTAGTGGTAGTAGTGGTAGTAGTAGTAGTAGTAGTAGAAGTAGTAGGAGTAGTAGTAGTAGTAGTAGCAGTAGTAGTAGCAGTAGTAGTAGCAGCAGTAGTAGCAGCAGCAGCAGCAACAGCAGCAGCAGGAGCAGCCGCATCACTGGCCGCAGTAGCAGTAGCAGGAGGAGTAGTGGTAGTGGTGGTGCTGGTGGTGGTGGTGGTGCTGGTGGTGGTGGTAGTTGCAGTGGTACTGATGGTGATAGTGTTATTGGCAGTGGCACTGCAGTGGTACTGGTAGTTGTATGTGCGAGTGGTACTTAGTGGTAGCTATTGGCAGTGGTAGTTGTTCCTAGTGGTGGAAGGTAAGTCGCATCAGTACTGGTGGTCCCAGCTTCGGCAGCACCAGTAACATTAGCAGGACCAGCAGCAGAGCAGGAGCAGCAGAGCGTAGTGGCAGCAACTTCAGCAGCAATCGCAGCTGCAGCAGTCGTCGCAAGGGTCGTCGTCACAACCATAAAAACAGCAGCAACCAGACTGCCAAGCTGACGGCTGCTAGAACATTAAGTCAAATTCACGATGGTGATCACGGCCGCAGCCACCTATGCAAGGATGCAAGCATCTTTACACACCAGTGACAAGAAGAACCTAGCCCCCAATAAACCCACCTAAAATGAGCCATCTCAAGTTATGTTATGTCATGACCAAGGCATATACATCGCCCCATAAGCGATTTTCCAGGCGCTTTAAAGGTTTGTTGTTCTCCTAAACCTTACCCTTAAAGCCCAAACCCTCAAACCCAAAACCCCAAACCACCCATACCTAAAACCCAAAACCCTAAACCACACATACCTAAAACCCAAAACCCTAAACCACGCATACCCCAAACCCAAAACCCCAAACCGTACTTGTCTTACTGCCGGAAGGCCGAAGAGAAGCGGAGACAAGATGAAGTCAGAAGAAGGAAGGAGTCGGCTTGGCCTGTTATGCTATTTTGTTTTTCCATGGTAGTACTGTTATGGCTACTTCTTCTTGTTCTCGTAACGACTGGCGGTTTCTGTGACGCCGCCTTCTTATTCTTCTTGTTCCTGTTCTCGTTCTCCTTCTTCTTCTTCTTCTTGTCGTCGTCATTGCAGTTCTGCTTATGATTATCTTGACGATTATTGCGGTTATTTTGATATTATATTCGTGTCATTGTTGCTTCTCTTCTTCTTGTTGTTTCTTTGTTTCTTTATTGGGAGGGGTTCGTCGCAGCACGTTGGGCGTACAGGCTACTGCTTGATTCCCTTGAGACTTGTACCTCTGCGAAGTGACCCCAAACCCCGAACGCTGAAGCCTTAAACCGTAAACCCCCAAAGCCTAAACCCTTAAACCCGTATGGGAAAAGCCAGAAAGTTGGAATATGATTATCTTAACCCTTCTATGGTAAATTATAGGGTATCCTACCATGAAACCATATTCCAACTTTCTGGAGTTCCCTATAGGCGCTTAAACCCAAATTCTCCGTGCTTCCGCAGCCGAGACATCCTCTGGCTCAAGGGGAATCTTCTCCCACCTGCGCATACTAATCGTTCTACTACCCCTCTTACCGCCCAGCCGAGACCTGACGCACAAGTAGTGTTGGGATATAGGGTGTAGGGTTTTAGGATTCAGGGTTTGAGGATAGGGTGTTGGGGTTTAGGGTTTCAGGATGCATGGTCGTTGTCTTGTTCGCAGGGGTTCTCTGACGGTTTTTTATAGGGAGCATACGGGGTTTTCATAGGTCTTTATGATGACTGGCCTAAATGCAAGGAATAGAGTCTCGGGTATGGTAGTAGATGTGTGCAGGGGCGATAAGGGCATGATACTGTGTTGAGTCTGCCGATCCCTAGACTCGTTTGAGATGTTGGGAACTCATTTTAATTGTAGCTAGGAGGTTTGTTCTGAGAGAAAGAGTTCGGTACAGCAAGAATACTGGCAGCAATAGCCACAGCTAACAGTAACTCCAATTTCCCTAAGCCCTCAACCCTAACCCTAAACCGGACTATAATGCTACTAGCAGGAATAATGTTCAGGGATCGTTTGCTGAGGACTTTCCCTATGGCCACGTCCATCCCGGAGTTCAAGGATACTTTCTTTGAAGGCCGCTCGCTTCCATGTCTTTTCAAGGAGCCCCTATCAAGGCTTTTGGGGTTTAGGGTTTAGGGTGAACCATTGTAAGACCCTACTATTCTGCCTATAGGGCCCTAAATTAGGCCACTATAAGACCCTATATAAAGTGTTGTGAGGCCCTATATTAAATCATGTTCACTATAAGGCCTGTATTCAACCACTACTATAATCCATCACTACAAGGCCTTTTTAGCATCCGTATGAGACCCTCTTCGAAAAACCGAAGCTCCAAAATCCTAAGCCCCGACAGCGTCGAGCCTCTGGTACATCGAAACCCGAAGCTGCGATCCGAGCCCAAACAATGTAGGATTAGAGTTGAGGGGTTTAGGGTCTAGGGTTTAGAGTTGAGGGGTTTAGGGTTTAGGGTTTAGAGTTTAGGGGTTTAGGGTTTAGGGTTTAGAGTTTAGGGGTTTAGGGTTTAGGGTTTAGAGTTTAGGGGTTTAGGGTGCGCGGGGGGCCGTGATAAATCGACTACGGTTTTTGGCTCTGACGGACTCGAATCAAGCTGGGAGGCAGTAAGGGTTTGTTTTAGGGCAAAAGAAGATGATGCTGAAAACCCGAAACCCTAAACCCTAAACACCCCACACCCCCTTTTGAGACCGTTTCTTCTCCTTTGCAAAGGCCTAGAGTCCAACTTTACTGTAGTTATAATAAGGAGCCCCCAAAATCGTATAGGTATTTAGTCAGGCCTCTTTGCTAAATCTTAACAATAGCGTCCCAAGCCCAAAACCCGCCCACATCCCGCCTGGCTTCCTTAGCTCCTGTTGTGCCGAAGGCGAGCCGGGGCTTGTCGCGGTCTTCGACTACGACTACGAGGCCTGCGAGGAAACACTATGTGGAAGAAATGCAGCTTGTTTATGATCGGAAAGAAGCAGACATGATGCTGCGAACATGCTGTGACCCACCTCAGTAGCCGTTGCAGCTGTGGCCATCGCCGTCGCTGTCGGCGGCACCGTCGCCGTCGCATCGTCGTTACCGTTCTCGTCGTCGCCACGGTCCTTGTCCTCGGATGCAGTCGGAGAAGAAGTGCCGGCAATGCAATGGGATCAGGAGGACGAGCAAGGATGACATTTTTCACAGCAGCATGGTTTGCAATTAGATGAACAGTATTGTCCAGAAGAAGAACAAGAGCAAGGTCAACAACCACGAAGTAAGGTGCATAAATAGGCAAAAATCTGAACACACAACTGCAACGTTGGTGATGGTGGTGATGACGCCAATGCGCATTTTTTCTGTCAATCCTCCTCCTTCTCCAGCTGCTCCTGTTGCTGCTGCTGCGACGTCGCGTCAACGACAACGGTCTTCCGCCGTCGCCACCACCGAACCGCCACGACACTGCCACCATAACCACCATCACCGCCATCACCACTCAAACGACGACCACCACCATCACCACCATCACCGCTATTGCCACAATCACCACCATCACCCGCGGCCGACGCTGCTGTGCCAAGCACTGCCAACAGCAACACACGCCATCATCTGCAGTTGATCATCGAGTTCAACCAGAAGTTGCGCTGGGCACAGCCCCTTGGCAGCAGACGCTGGTCCACTGGCGTTTAGGGCTTAGGTCGACCAAACTTCCGCGGTAGGTGTAGAATTTTTCGTGAAACCGGTGCCATCGCGACGTGCGTCCGAGATTTTCAGAGCAAGCGAATTTCGTCACGAATGTGGAGCTCTAATTATCCCACTCCGGAAGCCACCCACAACTTTCGTAAAAAACTTAAGTTCTTAAGCGTACACAAAATCGCAGAATACCAATTGAAATAAAGCAGTTGCATTTCAGAAGGAATCACTATCGAAATATTTATCTTACAGCGCTACACCTCTAAACTAGACATGCAAGCAAGGAAAGACGTCTTGAGATGCCTCAGAGTTGCTTGGCGACATGAAAGCAAGACCGTATGTCAACTGCAAGCCATGCTGCGCGGGCATCGCGCGAGCAGCGGCGACCAACCAGACGTTGCTGACGTGGCGAGAGTTCTGGAAGCGCACCCAGAGGCAACCCTGGTGACCTTCACTCGGTGGCCAGCCGAGCACTTGAACAAGTTGGCAGTCCAAACAAAGTTTGGACAGCGGCACGCGACGCGGACGCCAAGTGCGACAACAAGCTCCGGGGCGAGTACGTGAAATACGAGTGCTCCTACACGGAATTGCATTTAGGCATGAAGCTGATGTTGACGCGCAACATCGACAAAGAGCGGGATCAGGTGAACGGCATGTTTTGCGTCCTGGAGGCCGTCAGACTTCACGGGATGAGGGTGAGAACGGCGACGAACCGACCCATTGTTGTATACCCGCACACAGAGTACAAGCTACTGTCAGATGGCAGCACAGCCTCGGCCACCTTCTATCCAATGCGACTGGGTTATGCCACGACGCTACACAACCTGCAAGGCGCGACGCTGGAGTATGTGGCGCTCTGGTTGGATGAAGAAAATGTCCCGGGCGCCGGCTACCTGGCGCTCAGTCGGGTAAGAACAGATAAATACACGGTGCTTCTTCGGTCGACTGGAGACGACCCATTTTTGTCCCGCACGTGCATAAAGATGTGCTGAGACACCGCTGCCTGATGTGAGGAACTGCACAGCAATGCGGCTGAACAACTGAGATGTCATGCCAAAAAACGTGGGGAGAGAGTGTTGCGAGAGAGGACGACAAAAACATTTCCATACAGGGTAGAGGCTTTAGAGTAGGCACAAAGAAGAATAGTGGTGTACAGAGATGCACTTACCTAGAAATGGCTGTAATTATGTCTATAATGTGATTTGTTGGCATTCCCGGCAAGGGTGGTGCGCTGTGAAGAAGCTTCAGCTGAGCGTTCAAACTTACGCTGTTTAGATCTAGAGCGAAACACCCGGTTGTGCTGCAGACTGTGTCAATAGCCGCCTTGGGCACACAGGGACCTTCAACGAAACACCCAGTTGTGCTGCAGAATGTGGCTTTAGCCGCAGTAGGAACACAGAGACCCCGAATGGTTTCGAGCAGTTACACGAAAAGAACGGCCCTGTTTTGCTGCAGAAAGCGGCTTTGGCCGCTTGGGCACACAAGGACCCCGGATGGTTTAGAGCAGGCACACAAAAAGAACGGCTTTGTTTTGCTGCAGAATGTGGCCCCGACCCCTGTGGCACACACGAGCACGCGAGGGTCCATTTTTGATCTCGGAACCCTGAGGTTGGACGGTTTGGGGTAATATCCTATCTCAGGAGATCTTTAAGGAATACTTGTGTTCAGTTTTGAACTTACCTGTGAATGGAAATAATTTTGCTTATAATTTCCATGTACTCTGTTTAGACCAGAAAGTCTTTTGTTGTTTTCCCGTACAGGTTGTGGTGCGCTCCTGTGCGTGGTAAGGCTTAAGCTGAGCACTCAGGCTTAAACTTTTGAGTTTAGGACCGAAACCTTTGAACTCCTCAAATCGCAATAACGAACTTGCCAATTCTTCGACGACGTTGGGACCCTCAACCCGCGACTTTCAAGGGAACACCTTGAACCCGCAACTCGTAAGTTTCGGACCAAGTCAACCCAGAAGCCTCCATGTAGAGCAGGCATTTTCAGCTTGTTTTGTTGAGGTGCCCATGGCCAGACAAGAACCGATACCACAACCACTGCTCGACATAGGGAGCATACTATATCATAGAGCACTAAGTTATTGATCTTTTGTAGAAACCCTTGAAAAGAGCCCTGTTAGGAAACCTTACCCGACGCATTCTGGCTGTATATGAGGCAGATTTTTCCTTGAGCCTACGAGGTTCATTTTCTTCCCACCGGCGTGGGCGTCGACTATATGGCCGCTGCTTGAGAGTTTTGGGTTTAGGG